TTAATAACAGAAATCCAATCAACTAAGCAAAAATACTCTTTCGAAGCAAGTATCAAACTTTATTAATTATAAAAATCTCAGCTGAATATTCTATTATAATAATAACTGCTTAATATATCTCTCGAGTAAGAAAGATTCAGAATAGTTTCTTTAGAAATCTAAGCGCTGCAAATAAATAGCAATAGCAGAACAAGAGTATACGCTTAGCATTCTTATGAGTAGCAATTCGGACTGCTCTAATATTATAGAATAAAGTATTTAAGCATTGGAAGAAGAACTTAGCAATAATATTCTTCAATATTCTTTATTACTTATATTAAGCATTATAACTAGAAATATGAATAAGAAATAATACTCTCTTAGCTACTGATATAAATATCTAAGCAATACAGAGAATGCTTTTCAAGCAATAGAAGGATTAAGCTAGAGCAAACAATCTAGCAGCATACAGAAGCTTTCTACGAACAATATGCTTAACAAGTTTAAAGAAAGATTTCTCTTTAGCATTGAGTGGAATAAGGAAACAATATGAATCGAATATCTTATTTATAAGATAAAATTAGAAAAGCTCTTTATCTGCATTTCCTTGCAGAATATTGAGGCATGAAAAGATAAGGATTCTCGAATCAGCTTACTTCATAACCTATATCACAAACTAGCTTGAATCTCCTGCACCTATTATAGCTGCAGAATGCATTTCTCAGATAAAATGCAATACAAATAGTTCTCTATTAGAGAATCAGAACAAATCCTTCAGGCTATTAAAGAATAAAAATTCCGCTTCAGAGAGATTCTTAATAAATAGCACTATAATGTATATATCGAATTATTAGATAACTGCTTTATACAATGCATAAATAAGGAAATAAAATGATAGCAGTACAAAACGATACTTTGTATGATTTATATTAATAATAAGATTTGCAACTAGTATTAATAAAAGAAAAACTAGAAATAATGATAATACAGGCAAAAGCAAGCTAAAAAGCTTGCTTAAGAAGTAGCGAAACAAGCTTAGAAGAACAAACAGTTCTTAATGAATTCAAAAGAACAGAATCGCTTGTAAAGGAATTGCAAATAATCAGATCAGAATAGTTTCTATATAAAGCCTTCAGAATAGATTATGCTTATATTAAGTTCAGCATATATATTTAAGAATACAAGTATAGCATACTATTAAATAGTAGCGCTTAGAGAAACTTTATATTCCTATATATCATTAATCAGGTACAACTATAATAAAGATGAAAAAGATGCTTATACACTCTCAGCATTGTAAAAAAACAATCTGTTGCATACAATCAAGGAATAATCAATAAGGAGACTGATTATCTATCTATCTTAATCCAAGAATATATAATCAGAGTTTCTTTTGATATTACAGATATAGCATAGCATGAGCTGATTATGAAGCTTTCATAGCTCAAGAAGCACAATCTTCGAATCAATTGAACTATTAGCCAGATCTCATAAGAACAAGCTATACTCAAAGAAATAATTACAATTAATAGCACAGAATTGAAGCTAATGATTAAAGAATATTTAGAAAAAGAAGCTTTATATAACTTCATACATATTTCCAAGTTAGCAGAGCTAGCAGTTCAAGGAAAAGAACTTAATAATAAGCAAACCTAAATAGTGCTAGAGCGCTAACAGATTAGCAAAACAACGGAAGCAAGATCCTCAGCAAATCAGTTCGCTCTAAAGCAATAAGAAAAAGCTTCAGAAAGTAAATTGTGAATCCATACAGGAAAAACCTCGAAACCAAGCTTTTAAGCACTCGCTTTAGCTTAGAGCGAACGCTTAAAGCTCTTGAAAACGCCATTAGAAAAGAAGCATGCTCAATAGTACCTACTATTCCTTCAGATAGCAGAAACAGCATAAGAATCAGAACTAATACTTGCAAACATACTATAAGAATATTATAAGTTCAAGAAACTATTCCAGAGAGAATTGAATATAGGATTGCTAGAATACAGCTTATATAACTACAAGATCCTATTACAAAAAGAGAAACAGCTCAAATTCTTCCCTATTTATAAGCTAAACAAGATATAGCTAGAGATACTTAGGAAGTATCTTAATAAGAATCTTAAGAAAGAATATATATAATCATTATAATTATCAGCAGAATATCTCATTCTATTTATATCTAAGAAAAATAGCAAGCTTAAGCTATATATTAATTATAAGCAATTTAATAATATTATAATTAAGAACTAATACTTATTGCTACTTATTAAGAAATTATAAGATAAATTATAAGAAGTATAATAGTTTATAGTTCTAAATCTAAAAAGAGCTTATAATCTGATTAGAATAAAGAAAGAAAAAGAATGAAAAACTGCTTTCAGAATATGCTATAAATACTACGAATATTTGATTATGCTTTTTGATTTAATGAATATTTCAGCTTTATTTTAGAAAATAATCAATTATATTCTATGTAAGTATCTGAATTAGTTTATTATTGCTTATTTCAATAATATTCTTATTTACTCTCAAATATTAGAAGAATATAAGAAATATATAGAAATAGTATTGCAAATGCTTCAGAATGTAAAGCTCTTTATAAAGCTTGCAAAGAGCTACTTTTATATACAAAAGATTAACTATCTCGAATTCATAATTGAGCTAGAATATATCAAGCTATAGAAAGATAAGATAGAAGCTATTAGAAATTAGCTAGTTTTCAGGAATATCAGAGATATTAGATCTTTTCTTAGATATATTAATTTCTATAAGCAGTTTATTAAGAACTATAGCTGAATCGTATACTCTCTTATAAATCTTATTAAAAAGAAGCAGCTCTTCAAATGAACTTTCAAAGTATAAGAAGCTTTTAATGAGATTATCAAGCATATTATCTTAGAGCTAGTTCTATATAAAGCAGATCTCTATAAATCTTTTAAAGTTAAGATTAATGCATTAGAATATATACTTGGAGAATAACTTGGTTAGCAAGATAATTAAGAGCATTTAAGAATTGTAAGCAACTTCTCAAAGAAGTTGAATAACTTAGAAATTAACTATAAAATCCCTAATTAGAAACTTATAGCAATAATAAAAGCTTTTAAGAAATAGCAATACTATCTTATTAGCATATAATACTCAATTATAATTTATTTAGATTATAAGAATCTAATTATATTCATAATAATTAAGATTTTGAATAAGTAATAAGTTAGATAAGTAGAATTTCTCTTACAATTCGATTTCAAGATTATACATTACAAAAGCTCAGAAAACGAATAAGCAAATGCTTTTAGCAGAAGATCAGATTATCAAGATGCAGATTTCTTAGATATATAGAATATCTTTGTACAAGATAAGTTAGGAAATCTTATTAATGCATATAGAGAACTGAATGCTGCTCTCAGAATAGAATCCTTAGAGAAGAATTCAGAATTGATAATTCCAAACGAATAAAATAACTATATTAAAGATATATACAATATATCAGTATATAGATATTAGAAAGTTAGAGCAATCTATGAATGCATTAAAAGATATTAAAACTTACTAGATTTTAAGAAAAGGATTGAAAACATTCTATAACAATGCAATAACTATAAAAAGAATAAAGCAAAAAGATATAAGCTTTATAAACTACTATACTTCTTATCAGTATCTACAACTGTTTAGCAATTCATTAGTTTAAACTTCATTACTAAGCTATCTTTCTTATGAGAACTCTTAACTAAGATGCAATATAATAGCATTCTAGTAGTGATTTGCAGACTAAGCAAGTATGCTTACTTTCTCTCTTACAAGGAAAGCAGTATAGCAGAAGAACTTGCATATGCATTTCTTAGAATAATTATCGCTAATTATAGCATACTGAAAGAAGTAATTTCCAATAGAAATAGAAAGTTTAATTTAAAGTTTTGAACTTTGCTTATGAAACAGCTTGAAACATACTACAGAATGTTTATAGTATTTCATCTGCAAATAGATGAATAGATAGAAAGAATGAATCAAGTTATTAAATAGTATCTTTAATACTATATTAATCAGAAACAGAATAACTGGGTTAATCTGTTGCTCTTTATACAGTTCGCTTATAATAGTGCAGATACAAGTATAATAAAGAAATTATTATTCTTTGTACTCTATGAATACAATTCAATAGCTTATTATGAAGTATTACTAGAAGCAGATGCAGAAGCTGCAGATAAAAGAGTTAAGAAGATCAAGAAAGTTTAGCAAGAACTTTGATTAAAACTATAATTTATTTAGGAATAAATAGTATGATATGCAAATTCCAAAAGGATTGAGAAATTAATTCTACAGAAGAGAGATAAGATTTATCTACTTCGAAAAAACATCAAAATAATCAAACTTAGCAATAAACTCAACTATAAGAAGTTAGAACTATTTAAAATCTTATAATAAATCTTCTCAATTAATTACAAATTAGTATTATTTTATAAGATAAGAATATATCTGATTTTCCATATCTTACTGCTGGAATCAGCAGTACAGGAAATACTAACAAACAATACAATAGAAGTGGAAAATAATGAATTAGAGTATAAAATAGAGAAGATTCTCAAGCATAGAAGTACAAATAGCATAAGGGAATATCTCATTAAATGGAAAGGCTACCCAGCGAGCGAAAACTCTTGAGAACTGCAGAAAAACGTTAAAAATGCTTAGAAAAAGGTAGCTGAATATTGGAAAAGAAAAGCTAGCATCTAAGACAATTGCTCCGCCCCGAACCGAAACTCAGAAGCCTCGGGAATCTTACTCTCCAGGAAACCCAACTAATCCATCACTGCATTCCCTACATCTACGGAATTCCAGTTAAAACCTCCAGAGGAAGGACTCTCAGGAGCAACAACAGGCTCCGCGGAAACTACAGCCTGCATCTCAGCAGCTACGCGCTCGCACTCCTCCTCCTCCAGGCTCTCGTTTACCAGTTTTATCCCCTTTTCCTGAAGAAAGCGTTATTGCTTCTTCAGGCGGAATAAGCAACTCAAAGATTCCAATAAACAGGCTTAAGCATCAGCTAACTCTTGTTGATGCTTCAGCAGACGCTCCTCTTTCTCCACCTCTCTACTATTCAGACAAACCAGCTCATCAGTAATGCAGAACACTGAGAAAGTGCTATCAGGAAAAGTGCGCAAGGAAAGAAAGCAGTTGGGGAAACTTACAGGAAGAAACGGGAATCCAACCAGCATCATACGAACAGCCTCGCTTCATACACTGAGAACAGCTTTTTACCCCATCTATCATCTTACACTGCACCTCTTCCTCTAAACAAAAAGAATACAGCATAATCTCGTAACCAGTGGATTTGATATATGAAAAACGCTCGAGATAATAAAGATGCAATTGCAACAAACCAGAAGAAGCAGAAGAAGATTTCTTTGTAATACGAGAATTGAGGATTCTATTCAACATCTCGATTAGGAAGGCATAACCACGCACACGGAGAACTTGCTGAATACTTACAGGAGATTGTTGAGAATAACAACTAATAGGAGGGAGATAATATTATAACTCATCCAATATGCAGATTACGAAAACAGGTTACAAGCAAACAAGAACTAGGTGTTATAACTCAATGTCGGATAATCTACAAAGATTATGCAATCCAGGGTTAGGGTTACAGGCTAATTAATCAGAAGAGCTTACCTGTGCTCACTGAGCTTCAGTGAGCACCACTGAGCAGCAATGAGCCTTAGTAAGCATCAGCGAGCTACACTGAAGAGCTGAATATATAAGAATACGTTTATTCCCATTAGATAGATCTTATATATAGCTCTTCAGTTGTTAATCTAAGTATCAGATTACTCTCTACTCTGATAGCTCCAAAGGCAGTAAATACTTGCATCGCTTATTAGGACTTGTACAGTTCCGTATTCAAGGACTTGATACTTTGATACTGCTCTTGTTAGCATAAATCTCTTCATATACTTAGGAATCTTCGGATTGCTGCAGTGCTCATTACAGCATGCTTAACGGTATCTACTGTTCCTTTAGGTAGCAGAAACAGCACAGAGATCAGAACTAATACTCACGAATATACTATGAGAATATTATAAGTTTAAGAAACTGTTTCAGAAAGAATTGAATACAGGATTATTAGAATACAGCTTATATGATTACGAAATCCTGTTACAAGAAGAGAAATAGCTCAAATTCTTCCTTATCTATGGATTAAATAAAGCACAGCTAGAAGTACTTAGGAAGTATTTTAACAAAAACCTTAGAAAAGAATATATATAATTATTGCAATTATCAGCAGAATACTCTATTCTGTTTGTATTTAAGAAGAACAGTAAGCTTAAGCTATATATTAACTATAGATAACTTAACAATATTACAATCAAGAACTGATATCTATTGCTATTCATCAAGAAACTATAAGATAGATTGCAAGGAGTACAGTAATTCACAGTTCTGAATCTGAAAGAAGCTTATAATCTAATTAGAGTAAAAGAAGGAGAAGAATGGAAAACTGCTTTCAAAATATGCTACAAATACTACGAATATTTGGTTATATTCTTTAGTTTAACAAACATTTCAGCTTTATTCCAGAAAATGATTAATCACATTCTATACAAGCATCTGAATCAGTTTATCATTATCTACCTCGATAATATTCTTATCTATTCTCGAATACTTGAAGAATATAAGAAATATATGGAAACAGTATTGCAAATGCTTTAAGATGCAAAACTTCTTATAAAATCTGCAAAGAGCTACTTTTATATACAGAAAGTTAACTATCTCGAATTCACAATCGAGCTAGAATGCATTAAGCTATAGAAAGATAAGATAGAAGCTATTAGAAATTAGCTAGTTCTTAGAAATATTAGGAATATTAGATCTTTTCTCGAATATATCAATTTCTATAAGCAGTTTATTAAGAACTACAGCTGAATTGCATATTCTCTTACAAATCTCATTAAAAAAGAATAGCTTTTTGAATAGATCTCCAAAGTATAAGAAGCTTTCAACGAGATTATTAGATATATTATCTCAGAACTAGTTCTATATAAAGCAGATCTCTATAAATCCTTTGAAATTGAAACTAATACATTAGAATATACATTCGGAGAATAACTTAGCTAGCAAGATGATTAAGAATATCTAAGAATTATAAGCAACTTCTTAAAGAAGTTGAATAGCTCGGAAATCAACTATAGAATTCCTAATTAGGAATTTATAGTAATAATAAAAGCTTTCAAGAAATAGCAATATTATTTTATTAGCATATAATATTTGATTATAGTTTACTCGGATTATAAGAATCTAACTATATTTATAATAATTAAGATTTTGAATAAATAATAAGTTAGATAAATAGAATTCTTCTTATAATTTAATTTCAAGATTATATACTGCAAAAGCTTGGAGAATGAATAAGCAGATATTCTCAGCAGAAAATCAGACTATTAAGATGCAGATTCCTCAGATATACAGAATATCTTCGTTCAAAACGAGTTAGGAAATCTTGTTAATGCATATAGAGAACTAAATGCTGCTCTCAGAATAAGATTTTCAGAAAAGAATTCAGAATTAATAATTTCAGATGAATAAGATAATTATATTAAAAATGTATACAGCATACCAGCGTATGAATATTAGAAAGTTAGAGCAACTTATAAATGCATTAAAAGATATTGAAATTTATTAAGCTTTAGAAAAAGAATTAGAAATATTTTATAATAATATAAAAGCTATAAGAAAAACAAAGCAGAAAGATATAAGCTTTATAAGCTACTGCATTCCTTATTAATATCTATAACTATTTAGCAATCCATCAGTTTAAACTTCATTATTAAGCTATTTCTCTTATAAGAACTCTTAACTAAGATACAATATAATAGTATTCTAATAATAATTTGCAAACTAAGCAAGTATGCTTACTTTCTCTCTTATAAGAAAAGCAGTACAGCAGAAAAACTCGCATATACATTCCTCAGAACAATCATTACTAACTATAGCATGCTAGAAGAAGTAATCTTTAATAGAAACAGAAAATTCAATTCGAAGTTTTGAATTTCGCTTATAAAACAGCTCGGAATATACTACAGAATATTCACAGCATTTCATTTACAAATAAATAAATAGATAGAAAGAATGAATTAAATTATTAAATAATATCTATAATACTATATCAATTAGAAATAGAATAACTAGATTAATCTATTGCTTTTTATACAGTTTGCTTATAATAATGCAGATATAAGCATAATAAAGAAATCATTCTTCTTCATATTCTACAAATATAATCTAACAGCTTATTACAAAGCACTGCTAGAAGCAGATGCAAAAGCTGCAAACAAAAGAGTTAAGAAGATTAAGAAAGTTCAGAAGAAACTCCAATCAGAATTATAATTCATTCAAGAACGAATAATATAGTATACAAACTCCAAAAGAATTGAGAAACCAATCCTACAGAAGAGAGATAAAGTTTATCTACTTCGAAAAAACATTAAAATAATAAGATCTAATAATAAGCTTAATTATAAGAAGTTAGAATCATTCAAAATCTTGCAATAGATTTTTCCAGTTAATTACGAATTAGTATTACTTTATAGAATAAGGATATACTTAGTTTTCCATATCTTACTGCTAGAACTAGCAGCACAGGAAATACTAATGAATAAAATAGCAGAAGTAGAAAATAATGAATCAGAATATGAAGTAGAGAAGATTCTCAAATACAGAAGCACAGACAATATAAGGAAATATCTTATCAAATGAAAAGAATATTCAGCAAGCGAAAACTTATGAGAATCACGAAAGAACATCGAAAATGCTCAGGAAAAGATAGCTGAATATTGAAAAAGGAAAGCTAGCACCTAAGGCGATTGCTCCGCTTCGAACCAAGATCCAGGGACCTCAGAGACTTCGCTCTTCAGGAAACTCAACTAATCCACCACTGCATTCCTCACATCTACAGAATTCCAGTCAAAACCTCCAAAAGAGGAACTCTCAGGAATAACCACAAGCTCCGCGGAAACCACAGCTTGCACCTCAGCTGCCACACGCTCGCGCTTCTTCTCCTTCAAGCTCTTATTCACCAATTTTATCCCCTTCTCCTGAAGAAAGCATCGCTGCTTCTTCAGATGAAACAAACAATCTAGGGACTCGGATAAACAAGCCTGAGCATCTGCTAGCTCTTGCTAATGCTTCAGCAAACACTCCTTCTTTTCCACTTTCCTACTATCTAAACAAACCAACTCATCAGTAATACAAGATATTAGAGCAGTATCATTAGCAAGAATTAAGAAAAGGAAAGGGAAGACTCATAAGAAGATATGAAGATTCAACCAGCATTACAGAAACAATCTCGTTTCATATACTGAGAACAGCTCTTAACCCTATCCACTATCTTGTATCGCACTCTCTTCTCCAGATACAATAAATACAGCATAATTTCATAGCTAGTGAACTCAATATACGAATAATGCTCGAGACAACGGAGATGCAGCTTTGAAAAAGTAATGGAAGCATCAGAAGAAGATTTACTAATGCAAGAATTTAAGATTCTGTTCAACATCTCGATTAGAAAAGCATAACCACGCACACAGAGAACTTGCTGAATACTTACAGAAGATCGTTGAGAACAACAACTAATAGGAGGAAGATGATATTATAACTCATCCAACATGCAGATCATGAGAACAGATTACAAGCAAACAAGAATCAGATATTATAACTCAATATCAGATAATCTACAAGAATTATGTAATCCAGAGTTAGAGTTACAAGCCAACCAATCAGACAATAGAGCAATTACTAGTAATCACTAGCGCTCAGTGATCAGTAGTAATCCGATATAATCAGTGATGATCTAGAATGATCACCAGCAAGCAAGGAACTGAAGAATCAAGTATATAAAGATTCATATTTCTTACTGTCAGATAGATTCCCTTCAGATAGTTCTTCAGTTATCAATCTAAGTATTCAGTTTTATACACTGAGTAGCTCCAAAGGCAGTGAATACTTGCATTGCTTATTAGGATTTGTACAGTTTCATATTCAAGGACTTAACACTTTGATACCGCTCTTGCTAGCATAAACCCCTTCGTGTACTTAGGAATCTTCGGATTGCTGCAGTGCTCATTACAGCAAGCCTTTTATCAGAAACTTAGTTTGCAGCTAAGAAGTTTAGCATTCAGAACAGCATCTCTGCAGCTATAACAGATAATTACAGCTTTCCATCTTGAGAATTGCTCTCTAGCAACTCTAAAGCTATTACTATACTTTACTCCATTACTAGATATAGAAGAATAATTAGTTTGCAATCTAATATCTAAGCAACTTCAGTTATTAAGTAAATATTCTACTTTAGCTCTATACTCTCGCTCAAATAGCAAAGAGCATACTCTCGAAAACAGAAGATACTCAGATCTACTGCTTACTTACTCTGCTCTCTTGCTCGAATAGCAAAGAATATACTCTTGAAAATAAAAGATATTCAGATCTACTACTTGCTTACTTTGCTCTCTTGCTCGAATAGCAAAGAATATACTTTTGAAAACAGAAGATACTCAGATCTACTGCTTACTTACTCTGCTCTCTTGCTTGAATAGCGAAGAATATACTCTCGAAAATAGAAGATATTCAGATCTACTGCTTGCTTACTCTGCTCTCTTGCTCGAATAGCGAAGAATATACTTTGTTCTAGCTTAGCAATTCGAATGCTCTAAATCTCTTCTGAATGCTTCTTATATGCTGCTTGCATACTGCTTGCTTGCTATTTGCTCTAGCTTAGCAACTCGAATGCTCTGAATCTCTTCTAAATACTTCTTGCATGCTGCTTGCATACTGCTTGCTTGCTGTTTGCTCTAGCTTAGCGATTTGAATGCTCTAAATCTCTTCTAAATGCTTCTTACATGCTGCTTGCATACTGCTTGCTTGCTATTTGCTCTAGCTTAGCAACTCGAATGCTCTAAATCTCTTCTAAATGCTTCTTGCATACTGCTTGCATACTGCTTGCTCGATACTGCTTGCTTGCTATATGCTCTAGCTTAGCAACTTGAATACTCTGAATCTCTTCTGAACGCTTCTTGCACGCTGCTTGCATACTGCTTGCTCAACACTGCTTGCTTGCTGTATGCTCTAGCTTAGCAACTCGAATACTCTGAATCTCTTCTGAATGCTTCTCGCACACTGCTTGCATACTGCTTGCTCGCTATTTGCTCTAGCTTAGCAACTCGAATACTCTGAATCTCTTCTAAACGCTTCTTGCACGCTACTTGCATACTGCTTGCTTGCTATTTGCTCTAGCTTAGCAACTCGAATGCTTTGAATCTCTTCTGAACGCTTCTCGCACGCTGCTTGCATACTGCTTGCTCGATACTGCTTGCTCGCTATATGCTCTAGCTTAGCAACTCGAATGCTCTAAATCTCTTCTGAACGCTTCTCGCACGCTGCTTACATACTGCTTGCTCAGCACTGCTTGCTCGCTGTATTCAAAGCTCGAAAGCTCGAAAATCGAAAGCTTGAAGATCAAAGGCTCGAAGGTTAAAAGCTCGAAGATCAAAAGCTCGAAGATTTGAAAAGAATAGTAATCTAATCGTTTGCTCTGCTCCTACTCAGTATTAGCGCTGCTCCTAGGAAAGAAAAAAAAAGATAGAAAGCCTCGCCGGATTGCCTCCTTTAAAAGGGCCAGGCCTCAAACTGTCAGGTGGAAAGGTTGCAAAGGCAATGTAGCGAGGTCTTTTCTCTCTTTCAGGAGTATACAACCAGAATAACATTGAGGCCTAAGGAGCTAAGTTCTGCTCAGCAGTGCTGACGTAGCTAGAAAGCCGCTTTATAGCCGCATATTGCTTAGTCATCCGTAATCCAGCTGGCTTAGCTAGCCCTGAGCCTTGCTGGCACAATCAGCCCTGACACTCATTACTAGATTTTTCTTCTTGAATTGCTAGTTCTGCTGATTTGAAGATATGTATGAAGTTGTATGAAGCTTCTTTTTCTAAATATTCTTCAATAACTAGCTTTTATCCTGCGCTATTAATTGTAACTATCTCTCTGGATACAGCTTGTTCTTATAAGATCTAGCTAATAGTTTAATTAATTCGAGAATTATACTTCTTAAGCTATGAAAGTTTCATAATCAGCTTATGCTATGCTATATTCGTAATATCAAAGGAAATCTTGATTATATATTCTTAGATTAAAGCAGATAGATAATCAGTTTTCTTGTTAATTACTTCTTGATTGTAAGCAATAGATTGTTCTTTCATAATGCTGAAGATATATGAGTATTTCTTTTATCTTTATTGTAGTTATACTTGATTAATAATATATAGGAATATAAAGTTTCTCTAAGCGCTACTATCTAATAGTATGCTGTACTTGTGTTCTTGAATATATATGTTGAGCTTAATATAAGCATAGCTTGCTTTAAAAGCTTCATATAGAAACTATTTCAATCTAATTATCTATAGTTTCTTTATAAGCGATTCTATTCTTTTGAAGCTAATAAGAGCTGCTTATTTTTCTCTTAAGCTTGCTTTGCTGCTTTCTAAGCAAGCTTCTTAGCTTGCTTTTGCTTGTATTATTATTATTCTTAGTTTTTATTCTATTAATACTAGTTACTAATCTTATTATTAATATGAATTGTATAGAATATTATTCTGCATTGCTACTATTTTATCTTTTTATTTATATATTGCATAAAGCAGTTATCTAATAGCTTAATATATGCATTATAGTGCTATTTGTTAAGAACTTCTCTGAAGCAAAGCTTCTATTCTTTTATAGCTTGAAGGATTTGTTCTGATTCTTTGATGGAAAACTATTTATATTGTATCTTTTCCGAAAAATGCATTCTGCAGCTATAATAGCTGCAGAAGATTCATGCTAGTTTGTAATATAGTTTGTAAAGTAAGCTGATTTGGAAATCCTTATTTGGTTATACTTTGATGTTTTGCAAGGAGATATAGATAAAAAGCTTCTTTAGCTCTACTTTATAGATAAGATATTCAATTTATATTATTTCCTTATTCCATTCAATACTGAAAGAGAACCTTTTCTTAAGCTTGCTAGATTTATTATATATGAGAGATTTCGATGAATTGCTGAATTGTTTGTTTTAGCTGAATTCTGTTGCTTGAGAAGCATTTTCGATATTATTCAAGTATTTATACTAGTAATTAAGAAAGTATTATTCTTTATTCATATTCCTGATTATACTGCTTAATATGAATAATAAGGAATAATAAAGAGTATTATTATTAAGCTCTTCTTTCAATGCTTGAATACTTTGTTTAGTAATGCTAGAGCAGTTCGAGTTGCTGCTGCTTATAGTTATACTAAGCATATAATCTCGTTCTGCTATTGCTAACTACCTGTAGTGCTTGGATTTCTGAAAGAACTATTCTGAACTTTTCTTGCTTGAGAAATATATTAAGCAGTTATTATTGTAGCAGAATGTTCAGCTGAGATTTCCATAATCAATAGAATTCAATATTTGCTCTAAGGAAATATTTTTGCTTAGTTAATTAGATTTCTATTGCTAAGCAATATTCATCTAGTATTCTTTCTAAACTAGTTATTATTTATTCTTCCAAGATTAATAGCAGTTATATATTATATATTCTTATTTATTGCAATTATAGCAAGTAATATTATTCTTTCTGCTATACTGCTTATTAGCTATATTGAGCTCTATAGAGCTAGTATATATAATGCTGCTCTAAGCTATATTATCTTATTAATTACTATTTCTATATTAGAATTTCTTGCTTATATTAGCTAAAAATCTCTAAATCTAGCTTTCTTCTTTCTTAAACTTTTCTATTTATTGCTTATAAAGATGATTATTAATGCGAATTGCTTAATTAGAGAATATTGCAAAGTTTCTTAATTAATTCTACTTAAAGATTTTATTCTTAATATTATTCTTAAGTTTCTTATAATAATACTTTATAAGATTCTTATCTTTCTATAGAAATCTTGCTAAAAATTATTTGAATCTAATTATATAAGCAGAAGCTGATTTAGTCTGCTTGAAATTCATAAGCTGTTAAGCTGTAATATGTTCTTCATTGAAATTGCTAAAGATTTTCTTAAGAGCTTTCTCAAAGCTTTTAAAAGAATTGAATATATTCTTAATACTCTAAATGCATGTGCTAGAATTATTCTAATGCTTCAAATGATTATGCAGAGATAGCTTGTATTAGATAAGAATATCTTTCTTGAAGCGAGTTTCTGCAAGAATAATCTTCTCAGATTCTATAGTAAACTGAGTTGTATAATGCAAAAAGTATACTTTGCAGTAAGTAAGAAATTCATATAATATCTTTTGATTGCTATTGTATATAGTAAGCTTATTCATCTTATATGTTTTTTTAGTATTATTAGTAATTGCAGAGATAAAGTATATCTGCTGAGCTTATTAGGCTAGCTAAGTTTATTAGTTAGCAATAATAGCGCTTTAAGCTTACTATTATTTATACAGATTCTGAATATACTGAGTAAGCTAGTATACTTGATTAATTAGTTCTTTTTAAGTAAAAGTATATAAGAATAAAAGAGTTTCTAGAAGAGCTATTATATTCTGTATTGCTTAAGAAGTAATACTGAACTATTCTTGAATAAGAGTTATTAAAATGTAATGAGTACTGCAGCAATCTGAAGATTCCAAAATATATAAAGGGATTTATGCTAATAAGAGCGGTATTAAAGTATTAAGTTCTTGAATACAGAACTGTATAAATTCTAAGAAGTAATGCAAGTATTCATTGCTTTTAGAGCTATTAGAATAAGAGAAAGTAATCTGATATTTAGATTAATAACTAAAGAGCTATATATAAGATCTATCTAATAGGAATGAATGTATTCTTATATATTCAGCTCTTTAGTTCTATTAGTAGTATTAATTGTTGAATTACTTGGATTATCTGAGTAATCCAACTGATTCGGATTACTATGGATCAGCTACTGATTCATTCTAATCCTGTAATTCTAACCCTTGCTTATGTAAGCCTTAGTTTCTGAGGTGTTGAATCCTTCTCTGTCTCTTCGGATAGTTGTTCCCGGGTGTTCTGGCTGGTAATCTGTATGTTGAATGAGTTATAACAAACATTATAATTAAAAATCAATACTTATTACTACTTATTAAGAAACTACGAGATAAGCTGCAAGAAGTATAATAATTTATAGTTTTAGATCTAAAAGAAGCTTATAATCTAATTAGAATAAAGAAAGAAGAAGAATGGAAAACTGCTTTCAGAATATATTATAAATACTATAAATATTTAATTATATTCTTCAGTTTAATAAATACTTCAGCTTTATTTCAAGAAATAATTAATTATATTCTATATAAGCATCTGAATTAGTTCATTATTACTTATCTCAATAATATTCTTATTTACTCTCGAATATTAGAAGAATATAAGAAATATATGAAAATAGTATTACAAATACTTCAGAATACAAAACTTCTTATAAAATCTGCAAAAAGTTATTTTTATATATAAAAAGTTAATTATTTTAGATTTATAATTAAGCTAGAATGCATTAAGCTACAGAAGAATAAAGTAGAAGCTATTAGAAACTAGCTAATTTCTAGAAATATTAGAAATATTAAATCTTTTCTTAAATATATCAACTTTTACAAGCAGTTTATTAGAAACTATAATCAGATTACATATTCTCTTACAAACCTTACTAAAAAAGAGCAGCTTTTTAAATAAATCTTTAAAGAACAAGAAGCTTTCAATAAGATTATCAGATGTATTATCTCAGAACTAATTCTATATAAAGCAAACTCTTATAAATCTTTTGAAATTGAAATTAATGTATCAGAATATATACTTGGAGAACAATTTGATTAGCAAGATAATTAAAAGCATTTAAGAATTATAAGTAACTTCTCAAAGAAGTTAAGCAGCTTAGAAATTAACTATGAAATTTCTAATTAGAAGCTTATAGCAATAATAAAAGCTTTCAAGAAATAGCAATATTATCTTATTAGCATATAATATCAGATTATTATTTATTTAGATTATAAGAATCTAATTATATTTATAATAATTAAAGTTTTGAATAAGCAATAAATCAGATAAGCAGAATTTCTTTTATAATTTGATTTCAGAATCGTATATTGCAAAAGCTTAGAAAATAGATAAGCAGATGCTTTTAGCAGGAGAATAGATTATCGAGATATAGATTCTTTAGATATATAGAATATTTTTATTCAAAACGAATCAGAAAATCTCATTAATGCGTATAGAGAGCTGAATGCTGCCTTCAGGATTGAACTTCTGAAAAAGAATCCAGAATCAATAACTCCAAATAAATAAAATAGCTATATTAAGAATATATATAATATATTAGCATATGAGCATCAGAGAGTTAAAGCAATTTATAAATGCATTAAAAGATACTGA